AAAAAAAAACAACACACAGTGACCTTGGATACAGGGTATTATGGTCTCTGAGCCTCAGTTTCCTCACCAGTAAACTTGGAAGACAACAACCTCTCTCAGGGTTGCTGGGAAGTTAAATGATAGGGTGAATGAAGTCCTGAGGATAGCGTGCAGTCAGCATTCAATACACAATTGTTCAGGGGTGGGGTGGGGGACCTGAAGCACAGTCATAGGACAGGGATGGGCAGGGTCTCGTGGTCCTTGGCCCTGGTGGAGAGAAGAAGCTCTGTAGGCTCCCTAGGAACCTACAGTCCAATTTTGTGGGACAATCCCCAAGCTCCCTCCCAGCTGAGTGAAACTTGCTGCTTACTCATGCAGATTATGTTACTAGGGCCCAGCTCGCTCCCTGGAAAGGGCTGGACTCACTTGCGTGGCAACCTCGAAGCTACCTGAGGGCAGAGGCCTGCTAGCTGCTATCCTCAGCATCCAGGTCCTGTGATCAGGGAGGAGCATCATACTTCAGTGATCTCAAAGCCCGGTCCTCAGTTAGTTCTAGCAATTTGGGAGAGCGTTCCCGAGACCTGAGGTGTGGCCCTGTGGAGAACCCTGCTCCCTGCACTCCACCAAGGGCACCCTGCCCCTTGGACCCCTTGCATCCCAGATCCTGCCGCTGCACCCTTCCCTCGACCCTCCCGCATCCCGCCACCTGCGCCCCTCCTAGGTCCCGCCCCCTGCACTCCTCCCTACACCCTTCTCAGGCCCCGCCCCTGCACCCGGCCCGGCCCCGACGGGCGGGCAGGGCGGGGCGGAGGGGGGAGGGGCCGGGCTGATCAGCTGGAATCAAAGCCGCCGCCCCCCCTGCCAGGCTGCCGCGCACCTCCTCCTTTGTCACAATGTTTTTCAATCCGGTGAAGCAAACTGTCCAATTAGAGCCGGGGCCTCCGGCTTCCATCTTTGCCGACGTTTAATTAACATGCTCCTCTTGGCAGCTGCTGACAAGTTCCAGAAACAGGTTGTAAAGGGTTTTTGTCTTTACCCAGCATGGAAAATGAGGGGTGTTACATCGCGGAACATGAATAGGTGGCACTTCAGCTCCCTCCTTTCCTCCTCCCCCTCCCGCTGCTCTGCAAAGGGGAACACAGCCGAGGGGGCGGGAGGGGGGGAGCGCGCTGGGAGGGGGGCGGGGAGGGCGGAGTCGGAGGCCGGGGAGACCATCCCTTTCCTCTCTTCCTCTCTTTACCCTTCTTCCCAGGAGCCTTTGCTCTGCAAAAGATCTGAATTCTATTGCTCTCCAACCTGCACTCTTCCCTCCCATCTCTGTTAGCCATAGGGAATCATCATGTCGGTTCCTGTTCTTTAGTTTGGCCCAAGGCTATCCCTTTGTTACTCTACTAGTAAACTCCTATTCACCTCCACAGCCTAGTTCTGGTGGGCCCACCCGGACACCACCTGGTCACAGATTGCTACTCCAGGAACTCCTATCACATTCTACCTTTCCATTCTATCCACACGTGGTAATCTGAAACTTCCCCACTGTATAGGGTTGGGCAGGGTTGTCAGAGGAAGAAGCAAAGGATGGGGAAAGGAATCTGCCAGGTTGGGGGTGTGTGTGCTCCCTCTCTACTTAGCAATCTGCTGGAATATGCCCCCAGAGCAAGCCCTTGTGGATGGAGGACTTTCTCAAGGGTGTGGTCTAGTAAACAGGAGGAGACAGGGGCTTGGGAAAAGGTCCCAGACCTGGGCTGAGCCCTGTGGGGCTTGTTCATGCTGGGATGAGCTTTCTTGTAGGAAGAGTGGCCCTTCAGGGTGAGAGTCAGGGTAGGGCAAGAGGCCAGGTCTCCTGGGTCCATGTATCCTTCACAGGGCCCCTATGGTAGCAGTCACACCCATTCTACAAAGAACATCAACATTTATTCACTACACAGCACAGAGTGGTCTGGAGTCCCAGGAAGCATGGAAAGTGCTGTTCTGGAGACAGGCAGGTGCTGGGAGTCCAGAAGATTATACTTCCTGGAGGGCCAGGGAGTATCCCTGGGCCCCAGCCCTACTCCATGCCTGCTTTGCTCAGCTTATGGCATCATGACCCAGGCAGGGGCAGACCTTCTGCATTGGACACTGGCTTGGTGCCCACTTTGTCTGAATCTCCTCCTTTCTCAGACAAGACCCCTGGGATGAAGGAAGGGTGTGGGAAGTGCTAGGGCCAGGCCAGCCAGCCTTTCAGCAGCCTTGCTCCTGAGTCCCCAGCTAGGTCAGCCCCACCTCTTCCAGAGCTCTGATAGCCAGTGGAACCTGAAGGGAGAAGGAGAGCAGCTGGTCAGTCACTGTTGGACCTGCTGCAGCCCCCAAGGAACCTTTTCCTTTTTTTGGATGGGGTAGACACTAGCAGCAATGCACAGGCTGGCTTTTCTCCCCCCTCCACAACATTCTCTCCTGATATGTCACTTGGCCATTTTTACCCTAGACCCAGCTACTTCCAAGCTCTGGTCTCCAGGGAGATCAAAAGCTACAGAGATCTAGAAAGACCCCCATTCCCTAACTTGTCAACTGTGTGGCCTTGAAGAGCCCGAATTTCTCTCAGCCTTATTTTCTCTTCTATTCAAAAGAGGGGAAGAGCAAGCTGGGTGTGGTGGTGCACGCTTTTAATCTGGCGGATCTCTGTGAGTTCAAGGCTAGCCTGGTCTACATAATGAGTTCCAGGACAGCTGGGGCTACAGAGAGACCCGGTTTCAAAAAGACCAAAAAAAAAAAAAGAGGGGAAGAGGATGCTAGGGATGTGGCTCAGTTGGTAGGGCTTGCCATGCAAGCATGAAGTTCTGGGTTTGATGCCCAGCACTGTATAAAGTGGGCATAGCAGCACAGGCCTGTAATTCTAGCACTTTGGAGACAGAGGCAGGGTGATCAAGATTTCGAGGTCATCCTTGGCTACATAGTGAGTTCAAGGTCAGCCTGAGATACATCAGTGTCATGTCACCTCCAGTGGAGGTTGCGTGAGGTACTCTCCGTAGGGCAAGGCTGAGAAAACTTTAAAGGAAGAATGCCTCCTGGAGATGGCTGTGTTAAAAGAGCATGCCGTGTCTTTGGCTGTTCTACTTTAGTTCCTTTCTTTATTGATGCAATATTATTTTTATTCTTTCTTCATAGAGAGATTATTTTGTACCTACTCGGATCGTTAGGCCCACCTAAAGAGAAATTAGATATGGATGATTTTTGGGAACTTAGTCATTTAATATTATATATTTTTAGGTGTCTTTGTTTAGTCATTAAGAAGCCAAGACAGAAAAAGTCTTGGTCCAGTCAATTTTTTTTGGGTCCCTCCCCTAGACAAGTCTAGGCCTGGATGTTTGAGTTGGCCTAAAAATGTGAGGCTGTTTTGTCCTCTTTATGGGATAGACCCCTGATAATCACATGTATGACTAATTTCAATGACGGGTAAGACCTTCCCAGACTGATGAACCCAAGACAGGGGCCATGAGGGCAATCATGGTTACCCAAGGACGGGCAACTTTAAAACCTGAGGAGAGGCAACCTAAGACAGGGAGGTCATAATAAAATAAAAAAAGGGGACGGTGACTCCCATTTTTGGGGCTATCCCTAAAAAGCCTCACTTAAAATAATAAAAAAAATGTAGGGACCTGAGGCTTGAGACCTGAGACCTAAACATATAATAATCAAAGCAGCTAAAAACAGACAACCTTAAAAACTCTTAGATAAGTTACAGTAAAAATTAAGAGTTTATGTAAAAAATAATAAATGAGTGATTATTTAAGAAAGGAAAGTTTCATGATATTTATTACAGTTTATGGATAGACTTGCCAGATTTAGGCCACCTTGGTGCCTGCTTAGTTAAAAAAAAAACATACAGAGACAATGTTTATTTTATAAAAAGTAAAATAAAGTAGTTATGTTTATAAGTCCCATACTTAAAAGGATTTCATGAGAGCTACAGGTTTAAAATGGGATACTGATGTAATGGGGTTTAAAACATATTAATAAACAGAAAAAAAAGACAAATATAAAGCAACATTATTGTGATTCACCTGAAATTCAAATAAAATTATTAATGACTATAAAGCTAGTATTAAAAGCATATAGTGGTTTAAGGTCAGCTCATTGTGTAACCACAAAATATAAATTTTAAAAGTCTCTAATGTAACTCACCAAAATAAAAAACAAAAACTTTGTTTAGCACTAGTTAATGTTTGACAATGTATTTTGATTCACCTGTGTTTCACTTTTGTCTCTAAAATCAAAACTCTTAAAAAATGGTTAAACCACAAAACAATGGCTTATTAATGTAATCATGTAACTTTGTAATTTATAATCTGAGCTCTACAGCTACAAAATTACACTCAGACTTTCACCAACTCCTGTGTGTTTGTCTGTTTGTCATTCGCCAAATCCTTGTCCACCCTTTGGGGACCCTGCTCCCGTCGGACTAAACTGCTCCGGTCTGGGCTGGTCCGTCGCACATCAGACCCTGCCTTTAAAAAGGTGTGTGTGGGGTGTGGGGTGGCTGGACATGGTAGCACACACCTGTAATCCCAGCACTTAAGAGGGCTGAGGTAGGAGGATTCTTAGTTCCAGGCCAGCCTAGGCTAGGAATAAAAGGGAAGTAATTAACTCTGCCACATGGAAATTTCATAAGGGCTAGATAGCTATAACAGCACCCCATCAGCACAGCTGTGCTCCATAGGGGAGAAAAAGGAGGTGGGAATGTCTAGTCTGATCTAACCACTTGAGTAAGGCCAGACCTATGAATTCTTCTTTTATAGAGGAGGAAACAGAGGCTCAATTTCTAGGCTGAAGAGACTCTTCAAGTGACACAGCAGCAAGCAGTCACAAAGACAAGGTCCCCAGGTCTCTAGTCTTCCACTCCAGCCTGCCTATCCCACCTCAGGGGTAGGGGAACGCACCCTCATTTCTTCATGTCTACTTCTTTGCCCACTTGCTGTGGCATCTGACTTTGAAACCTGGGCCCCCACTTGGAGAACCAGGCCCTCATCCCCGACAGATAAGGTTCACCTGCTTCTCACCTACCCTGGGAGCTTAGGGTACTAAGGATGCTGAAGGTGCTGGAGATGCCAAGGATACTGGGGGTGTTGGAGGTACGGAATATCTCAAGGATGCTGAAGGTGCCAAGGGTATTGAGGGTACCAGAGGAGCTGGAGGTTTGAGGGAGGGGTCCTCAGGAATGTAGACAGGATGTGCTTCTTCATGAATCTGTGAAGAGAGGAAGCAAGAGGTGAGATCTGGTGTCCCTACTGGAACTAGAATTGTCTGGGTGAGCCAAAGGCTGCAAATCTTGCGCGGCGAGCGCCACCTTGTGATTACTCTGAAGATCGCATGACCGGAACATCACTTCGTAGCTTGCTCTTCATGGTTGGCATTGTCTTGAGTGCTGGGGCACAGCAAGGACCAAATAGGGTCTTTGCCCCACAAGGACAATAGCAGGGGGAATGCAGGGTTACATAAGAGTTTAAATTGCATGCTAGAGGGATTCTGGGAGGTTTCACTGACCCCATTTTTTGAAAGACGAGGAGTGTGGAATGTTAGAACAGGTCCAAAAGTAGAATGAGGAAATGCAAAGGCTGGAAGTGGATCTGAAAGGTGGAGTATGGGTGGCCCCTGCCTTCTCCTCATGAGGAACCCCTCTCTGTGGTCCTGGGGAACAACTATCTCACCCCTTACTCTGGGAAGCCCCTCAGTTCCCAGATAGACAATTCAGGGATGCAGGCTATACCTTTCACTTCTAATGATTTGGAATTTTGTTTCTCCTAACCTAGTACTTCTGAAAATATATAGCTGAGAGAAGATATGAACTTCGAATAAATTACAAAGGTAGAAAGAAATCAAGAGAGGCTGGAGAGATGTGCAATCATGAGGACCAGAGTTCAGACCCCAGCACCCATGTAACAAGTCAGGCATCTGGTACATGCCTGTAACCTCAGCTCCAAGGGGGCAGGTGAAGACAGGAGGATCACTGAGACTGGCTGGCTTCTGGCCAAGCTGAGAAAACGTGAGCCCCAGGTTCATGGAAAGACCCTGTTTCAAAAGAATAGGCAGATGATGACATTCTCAAATGTGGTTTCTATCAGAATTACCCAGGGGGAATGTTAACAGTTCTGGGTGGGATGACAGAATTTGTTTTCTCATGTATCATGCCAGGCTGACCTTGAACTTGCGGTGTATCTTAGGATGACCTTGAATTTCTGATCCTCCTGTCTTCACCTCTAGTGTATTACAGGTGTATATCACCTGTATTATGTGGTACTGGGGATCTAACCCAGGACTTCATGCATGCTAGCCAAGCACTTTACCAACTGAGCTACCTCCATAGCCTTGGCTATTTTGTTTATTGAAATAGCCTCACTCTACCTCAGGCTTCCCTCAAACTTGTGGCAATCCTTTTGCCTCAGCTTCCTGCTCTGGGGGGGGGTGATACAGCTGTTGCTGGGGCAGGGGAACAGTCCTTGGGATCACTAGAATATAGCTGGCTGACACTCTGGCTGCAGGCCTGACACTAGGCTGCTCCTGTAACCCCCACTCTCGGAGTATGTAGACAGGCCCACATGACCCCCTCCAAGCCCTAGGGTCCAGAAGGAAAGGAAGAAGAGAAAAGGATAGGAAAAGAGTCTTCAGTGTACTGCATAGATGTCACAGCATAGATGCAGGTGTCCTGCATAGATGTCACAGCAGGTGCAGACAGAGAGAGGGGATGATACTGTCCTTGTGCCTCTAGAGAGATGAATCTCTAGGACTCACCTTCCAGTAGACAGTGTCCTCGAAGCAGTTCTCATCAGCTGCTTGGCCCCAGAATGGTAATTTCAAAATGAGCCCTAAAGAGATTGGAGGACACAGAAGGTCAGAAAACATTCTTTACTGAATCCAGCCCTTTCCCTCAGCTGGGACCCCACCTTCCCAGTTTCCCAACTGACAGTACAAAGGATTTGGGAAAACCCAAGCTCATCCCTAAGACATGCTTTTGGGATTCCCACTCAGGCAGTCCCCCACCAGGACTTTTCAGGTCTAGCCACTCTCACTCACCCACGATGGTGCCGCCCACCAGGGCCATGGCCAAGGTCAGGAGGAGGCCATATATCTGGACCCTGCCCTGCATTTTCTTGGTCGAGTCCACCCTATATCCTTCAAAGCTGAAAGAATGAATAAGCCTGAGACAGACACATGAAGGCAAGGAGAGGATAGGGAATCATTTTGTTGCCACTCTGGGTTTCAGCCTCCCCAATTCAAAATTGGGGCCACTGTATGGAATAGTCTTCTCACATGCCTATGGAGGGTCTGAGGTTGGGGAGAGTTAGTAAAGAGTGGGGAAGGAAGGGGAGAAAGACACTTGCTTCTGCAGGAAGGAGGGAAGGAGAAGGAAGGAGGAAGGCCCACTTTCACACTTCCTCCACATTTACCCTGGCTCTCCATATACATCAGGGGAGGAGTAGGCTGCTGTCACAGCACCCACGATGCCACCTATGATGCCAGGGATGCCATGCAGGTTATGAATGCCACATGTGTCCTGGATGCGCAGGCGGGACTCCAGGAATGGCTAAGTGGGGAAGGAGGCACTGCTTAGGCTGGGGCTGTGGCAGGGGCATGGGGAGGCCCTCAAAAACAAAGGGACCCAGGATTCCCCAAGCCTCAGCCCCCTCCCTCTCTCTTCCCTGTCAGGAACATAAAAACCCACAGCACTCCCAGCCAGGGCCCTCACCGTCAGGTATGCAAATCCTAGGGCGGAGAAGGTGCCGCAGAAGAAGCCCACGATGAGAGCACCGTAAGGTGTGAGCATCATCTCTGCAGCCGTGCCCACACCCACCCCGCCTGCCAGTGTGGCATTTTGAATGTGCACCTGGGCAGGGTGGGCAGAGTGGGAAAGAGCTCAGTCCTGTCCCTTTGGTGTTATCTGTGCTCATACAATGTGCAAGTCTGCCCTGGGAACCAGGGAAAGCTCAGAGTCTGCCTCAGAAAGCCAGGAGCATGCAGTGGGGGCTAACCTTGGCCCCAGTTTAGTACAGCTGCCCCCTGTGTGCCCTGCAAGCATGCCACCCACAACCCCCAGTAGGTCTGGATGTGTTCTGTGCTCCATGAGGCAGTGTACTCCTGATATATTAATGGGCCCTGAGAGTCCGTACGCATATTCCCTTTCTCTATATCTACCTGTGTGCCACCCTGCAGATATAGTGCATGTATGTCCACCAGGTGTCCATGGGCCCTATGCATACCCATCCATCATTGATGCTCTCTGTCAGCCTGTGCCAGGTGCTGTGCTGCTGCTGGGGGGTTAGTTCATTCTATCTCCACAGCAAGCCCATAGGATTGGCAGTTATCTTTCCATATTTGCTGACTGATTAAAGTGCAAATATAAGAGTACAGAGCCAGCAAGGGGCAGAAAGATGTCTCTTCCTTCCCTTCCCTTCCTTTCTTACTTCCATCCTTCCTTTCTTCTTCCTTCCTTCCCTCCTCCCTTCCTCCCTCTGTTCCCCCTCCCTTCCTCTCCTCCCTCTCTCTTTTTGAGACAAGGTCTTTCTACATAGCCCAGGCTGGCCTCAAACTCAGCAATTCTCTTCCCTCAGTGCTGGCATTACAAATGTACCACCACACCCGACTCAAGAAAGATATCTTGATGCAGCCCTATGTGGAGCCAGAGCCTCTGTCCCGGAGCCCATTCCATGTCCCTGTGTGTGGGTTTGGGTGCATCTTCCTATGTTCCCTGTAGTGTCCAGTTGCCACCTGTGTCCAGTATATCTGGGGACCCATGGCAGGGATCCCATGATAGAATTCCTGACAATGTCTCTGCACACATATGTGCATGTCAAGAAGCTTGTGTCCAAATAAGATAGAGTTCATGTCTCTAGTTTTGTTTTTGTTAAAAAAAAAAAGTCACCCATCACCCATGAGGCTTGGCTCCTCCTCACTGACAAAATAACTGTCCCAGTGGTGTGGCACCAAGGACACTATACCACACCACACCCTTCAGACTTCCACAGTAGAGTGCACAAAGCATGAGGGGATGGCTCCTCAGAGGTGGGCTGGAGCAGCTTTAAGAAGATTGAGAGGCCAGTAGTGTCAGGAGGATGAGGGCCTGCCAGAGGGACCACCCTCAGAAACTCTGCTTAGGAGTATGGGCAGTCCAGGCAGCAACCCCCCCCCCCCCGGCAGAGGCCCCCTGCTCACCATGTCCAGCTTGCCCTTCTTATGTACGACACTGGACATTGCCACTGAGGTGAGGACACTGGCAGTCAAGGAGAGGTAGGTGTTGAGAACTGCTCGATGTTGGGTGTCTCCATGGAAGGAAATGGCTGAATTGAAGCTAGGCCAGTACATCCACAGGAAGAGGGTTCCTGAGCAGACCATATGCAGGTCCAGGGCCCGAGAGAGGAGGTATTAGATGGAGCCCCCAGAGTCCAGACATAAGTACTGCCTTTCAGCTCCAGAGATGTTCAGTGACCACAACCCCAGCTGCTTCCCACCTCTGAGTTCACTCTTGCCCCAGAGCTCCTCCTGGAAGGCCCTCCTGGTCTCACTCACCTCCTAGTTCCCACTTGGCTTCCCACACTACTTTAAAGAGCCTCCTCTATCTCCACTGATCCCCGGAACTGATTAAATGTTTTCCCCAACTCTTATAGCATCATGTGGAATAATCTCTCCCCTCTGTAGAGAGATTAGCTGGCAGCACTACCATCTCTCTAAGTGGGGCTGGGAGGCAGGGCTGGGGTCTTAGAGATTTCATGTATTCTCTGGAATGAAGGGGTATAGGAAGTGGGACTGCACACCTTGCCCCAGCCCTGGGACCAAGTGGCCAGTTCCTAGTTACCACTGTCTGTCTTAGGTCATTCTAGGGAACACATAAGAGGAGTGATCAACTTCTCTCAGCCCCATGAGGGGAAGAAGTAGACAGTCAGGACCCTAGAAATGTCTACAGGCCACCTCCCTCTGCCCTTCTTCCCAAAGGATCTAACAGTCACCCATCAAGGATGGTGGATGATGATCCTCACCCATCATGGTAGACCATCACACATTCATAGTGGTCCTCACCCATGATGGTGGTCCTCACTTACTAAAGTGGTCCTGTCTTCATCATGGTGACCTTCACCCATCATGGCAGCCTTTCGATCATTGTTGTCCTTACCCATTCATAGCAGTTCTTACCTATCGTGGCAGCTCTCGCCCACTATGACAGCCCTCATCAGTGTGGCAGATCTTACCCACTATGGCTGCCCTCACCAAAATGGCAGCTGTCAGCTCTCACCGATCATGGCAAAGAGGTCCGAATGGTACACTGAACTCAGTCTCTGTTTGCTCTGCTCCAGGTTCCTTCGGTAGAGGATCCAGGTCACTGTGAGCCCAAAGTAGGCGCCAAATGTGTGGATAGTCATAGAGCCCCCTGCATCCTTCACCTGGAGTGCAAGGGACCCATCAGGGCCTGGAATCTTCTCTCCCTCCTTCCTCATAGCCGCACCCCCTTACCCCCACACACGCACACACATTTAGCTGTCTTTGACTCTTCACTTTGGAACAGAGTCTAGGCTCCGCACAGACCAATGAAGTGAGCAGGGGGAGGTAGGGATCCATGTATCCAGATTGCTGGCCGGTCAGCAAAATACCAGGGCTCTTCCCTCTTGCTCTCTACTTGGTCTGGTTAGCTCCTAGTGAGCTTCTGGCTCTGCCTTCTTGACTGCAGGAAGCCTTCCTGGCCCATCAGGCTGGTTGTGATGCCTTCTGCTGGGCTGCCTAGCCCCAGAGCTTGCTCCTTATTACAGGACATGTTTAGTGTTTCTATGCCTCTATCCTTTTCTGGATTGTGAGCTCAGGTGGGGAGGTGTGTGTGAGGGGAGGACTATCTCAGTGCAGCCTGCACCCCTCTGCACCCTAGAGCCTTCAGTATAGCTCAACTGATCCTCAGACTCTGAAATCTGAGTACCTATGATGAGTTGGCCAGGTGCTAGGGCAGAGAGCATTCAGACATATAGGGTTCCCTGCCCTTATCAAACAAGTGGAAGTGCTATGAAGGAAACAGATCAAGGCAATGTAAGAGCAATGTGAAGCAATTTGAGAGCAAGGACTGGGAGGGATAAAGTGGAGGAAAGGCCGTAGGGCTTCTCAGAAGTGACTTCAACTTGAGACGTGGATCTTGAAAGGAATGAAGGTAGCTGCTCCAGGCAGAAAGGAGTGCAAGAGAAAATGCCTTGACAGGGATCAAACTCAAGGTGATTGAGGGCAGACAGAAGGTCATGTCCAAAGAACAGCCAATGGGGAGAGAGCAGGAGCTAAGCTTGGGGCAGTGCAGGTGGGGTGGACTGTGGCCAGAACCTGCAGGGCCATATACCAAGCTGGATTCTATTCTAAGTGAAATGAAATCCCTGGTAGCTTTTAATAAGGGGCATTGTCTTCTACACCTGATTAAAAGCCCACTCTGGCTGATGTTGGAGACTGGTCTCACCGAGTGAGTAGAAAAGGATGAGCCTGGAGATAAGTCAGGGAGAAGAGAGATAGTGGCTGAGGGCTGAAAAAAAATGGCACAATGATTAACTGGAGGTTAGGATGATCTAAACTCCTCCCCCAGGCAGGGAGTGTTCCAGGCTGGGCTCAAATGTAGAAGAGGAGACTCAGAAATGCATAAGGTAACCAAATGGCACTCTCTTCCACACCAAGGCACTAGGCTGATTTCTGGGAGTCAGAGGTCTAAGGTACTCCTTAGCTGGATCATGGAATCACCCAAACCCAGAGGGCAGTATTCTTGCCACAATCCAAGAATGGCAGTCTATGGGGTTGTGGAATTTACAACCTGTGCAGCTACATATGATCCCATCCCTGAGATCTTTCCTGACAGATTTATCCTTAATATACACTGGGTCTTATTCTCAGGTGAAAGATCTAGGAATGTATGCATGCAAGAATACACGCGAGTCTCCCACTCTTTCCATCTGATGGAAGAGAAAAGGAGAGGGGAACCAAAATTCAATGAATGCCCATTCTATCCAGGTGCTAGGCTGATACACTAGGCAGATTGTGATATTTTCTGGAAGATATCATAATTCCTACAGATGAGGAAATTGAGATCCAGGAAGCTGAGTGACTTTCCAGGTTGGCATGTGTCCCCAGACCTCTTTTTCTCTATCCTTCTTCATCTCCTCCAGTGTTCCTTCCCTCTTCTGAGTCTTGCTCACCTCCATCTGTTTCAGGAGGATGAACTCATTCAGTGTGAAGAGAGTCACTTGGGAGAAGGTCATGATGAGCAGTTGGACGGGGCTGACTTTGCCCAGAACTGCCCCAAAGGCCACACAGGTAGATGCCACGCAGAAGTCAGCATTGATGAGGCTATGGGGAGATAGGCCAAGAAGGGGCTGTAACAACAACCAGAAGCAACACCCCAAGACCTGGGGTTGAATCTGGACTTTAGTTCTTTTTGTACTGGGACTGCTGGTTTAAACTTTCTGAGCCTCAGTTTCATCATCTGTGTTAATGGGATCATCATAAGGCCACAAACATGTAGTGCCAAGTCCAGCAGTGGCATTCAAGATGTTGTGTCTGCTCTTGAAGCCCCCATACCTTTACAGGAAGCTTATGGTCAGGGAACCCAAGTGATCTGGCGATTGTTGTTGAAAGAGTCCCATATTTGGGATACAACCCTGCCCTGTCTTTTGCCTGACTTTCCAGAGCCTCTTCTTGCTGCCTCTTCTTTCTAAAAGCCTTCCTCAGCCCCTCCAATGTGGTCTCTGCTCCAGGACTACTGAATCCTTCCCAACACTTTACCCAGAAGGAAGTGTCAGTGTCTAGGGAAAAAAGAGAGAGACCTTCCCGCAGGAAATAAGGATCTGGAGTGGGACTCAGTAGAAGGAGGGAGCAGGAAGGCCCACAAAGAAATAAGGCAAAGAGAGGTACACAGGTCCCCCTTGATTCTGAACCCCATACCAGCCAGCCAACCCAGCAGAGGGTTCAGGGAGAGTTGGACATCTAGGTGGGTATTGTGTGGTCAAAGTGGATCCTGGTTCTGTCTACCATCTCTTTGCCTGGCCTGAGCCCTATTGTCTACTGCCAGCAACAAGGCTATTCTGCATTCCCAGGCAGACTCCCAGTATGGCTTTCAGGGCCATAGCAGTTGTCAGCAGGGTGGGTATAGAAAAAGAAGGCTGTGGCATATGAGAAGACCCCATCTCCATGCTCAAGGGTGTATGTGAAACAGAGAATTTGGGTGAGATGCAAGCTAATTGAGGGCTGGTTTGAGGAATGGGGGCAGGGTTCCTTCAGAGGACATTTCCTAAAATGTCCCTCCTCTGCTCCCTGTATTCATCACTGTGTCCCCAGGTTCTAGCTTAAGGGGTGATGGGCTCCTGAGTGCCAATCACATGCCCTCTTGAACCGCACCCAGACTGCAAAAGGTGTGTATTCCCATTAGCTACATCACACAATAAGGAAATGAAGACTCAGAGAAGTCCAGCAACTTGCCCAGAGTCCCCTAGCTGCAGCCCCAAAAGTCATCTGATGGAGGTGCCTTTTAGGAGGGAGAGAGAGAGAAAATAGAAAAGTCTGGACTTACAATCATCAACATCTGGGATACAGAGCTGCCACATGGAGGGGCATGGAGTCCTAGGAAAAGCCCACAGAAAAGAACGGCCCTAGAGTGACAGGTAGGTAGAACCAGGAGAGGTGAAGTAGATCCATGCCTCTGGGTCCACAAAGGCCACGTCTGGGGACAGCATGCTCAGCCCAGTCCTAGGCTCCAGACACAAGCTCCAGGTCAGTGACTGGAAACCAATTTCCCAAAAGCCAATTTGCCCAAACTCAATTTATCAAGTGACCAGCTTGCTGAATAAGTAGTTCACCCAAAACCTGCTAACTCACAAAGTTTGTAATCATTCCTTTAGGAAAAAAGTTGAAACGGTGCATTTTTTTTCCATGCAGTCATAGCTATTCCGTTGCAGTAGCTAATTAGATGTGTAACAGGTGTATTGATACTTTGGGTCTATGGCATTAAGAATGAGACTGTATTGTGTATTTTGAACTAATATGTGTCACAGATTTTATTTAAAACTCTAATTTACTGTTTCCAACAGTTTATCTCATCAACTATCTTGTTTCTCTTAATTGTGTGTCATTAACCCGCTTGAGTGAACTTGTCTTTTGCAAATGTTTTAATTTTCAGACACCTGGCCCATGACACCTGACTGTTGCCCTATTTGTGACAGCAGGGATTTATTTGTCCTTTGTATGTAAAGTTGGGGTTTTTTTTGTTGTTTGTTTGTTATTTTATTTTTGGTTGTTTTTTTGTTTTTGGTCTTTTTGAGACAGGGTCTCCCTGTAGCCCCAGCTTGCCTAGAACTCACTATATAGACCAGGCTGGCCTTGAACTCACAGAGATCCACCTGCCTCTGCCTCCTGAGTGCTGGGATTAAAGGCATGCGCCACCCGGCTGTATGTAGTTTTTTTTAAAAAAGATTTTTAAGTATTTTATTATTTTTATTTTATGTGTATTAGTGTATTGCCTGCATGTTGGTAGGCGCACCCTTGTCATGCAATGCCAGCAGAGAGGTCAGAATGGGTGTTCAACTTCCCTGGAACTGGAGTTACGACAGTTGTTAGCCGCCATGTGGGTGCTGGAATCGAACCCCCGACCTCTGCAAGAGCAGTCAGTACTCTTAACTGCTGAGTCATATTTCCAGCCCCTGTATGTGGTTTTATACTAGTTTGCCCCTAAACCATTTTTGTGGACTTTGTGAGCAGGCTAATTAATGAATGTTTATTTTCAGAGCCACTAACATCTTTATCAACTTGAGAATTCCCCCCTTCAACCAAACTCCTCCTTTGTCCACATAAACAGGAAACCATCTCAAAGAAGATAACCTGTCTCAAAGAAGAGCCTACAATTAAAACTTTCGTGAAATTAGGAGGTATCTCTCACAGGCCCCAAACAACATAAACAGCTGTAGTTTCAGACCACCCAGGTGGAGATCAGCTTTGCTTTTGGTTTGGGGGTATTTTCCAACCTGTTGGTGCTGTGGGTGAGGGGAGACTGGAAGGCCACTTCACAAGAGAGTGAGGTACCTTGTCGGAAGGGTTGGTAGCACTCATCAAACCTTCACAGAGAAGTTATTTGGAAAGCTGGAGATGAGAGGATTGGTGCCCTACCCTGAGAGGTCAGGCAAGGAAGCTTCCTCTGGAACCTTCCACACCCACACCAGCCTCCCAGCTCTTTCCTAAATGCAAAGAGAAACCTCTCTAACTTGAATGAGTTTCACATTTCAGTGTTCCCCCAGCAAGGAGTCTTCTGAAGTTGGTTCAGGCATTGTCCCTCCTGGGTTCCTGGTGCTGTACTGTCTTAGGACACAAACTCGGCAATGTGCCTAGGATGGACAGTCTGGGCCTTTCCCTCTTTGGGGAAAAGTCTAGCCTCATGTTCCTGCAGTCTCTTTCCTAGGGGAAGGGAATCTCCCACAGCACCAGGACGCCATCAAAAGGCCCGTGCTGGAAAGTTGTTGATGAGGAAACATTGCGTGTGTGTTGGGGGTGGGGGGGCTGAGCGCCTTAGTTCGGTCACAGACCTGCAGTGTTCTAAACGAGGAGCTGCCTCAAAACCCAAGCCTCCAGGGCTCACCAGGATTGCCACCTCCTTCAGCCTCACCTGCCAGACCCCGCCCTCTGTGCCCTGCCCACTCCTTTTTGCTCCCGCCCTCACCGCAGCCCCATCTCCTGCTCGCCAGGCCCCATACGCTGAGCCTTATTCATTTCATCTTGCCCACCCAGGGTGGCCATCCCCATCACGACTGGCCCCACTCTTAGTCCCAGCCCCACCTCCCCAACATGCCCCGCCTGGCTCCTGCTCCTTTCGTTCCCCTACCATCCCCCAGCCTCCATCACCTATCCCTCACCACCCGCCCCGCACTCACCCTTCGAGCCCCGCCCAGGGCATCCCCCCAACCCCACTCCATCACTGCAGGCTCTGCCCACACCCACTGGGCCCCGCCCAGTCCGTCCCGCCCCTCGGGCACTCCTGCGCTCACTTCTCAATGCCCAGGAGGATCTGGCCTTCTTCAAAGTGGTTGAGCCAGCCCTGCATGAGCAGCGCCCACTGAACGCCCAAAGCCGCCAGCAGGAAGTTGAAGCCCACCGCGCTGAACCCGTAGCGTTGCAGGAAGGTCATGAGGAAGCCGAAGCCCACGAGGACCATTGCGTGCACGTCCTGGAAGCCTGCAGAGAGTGCGCAGTTAGGGGCGTCTGTGGTCCTGGGAAGACCCACCACAGCCTTGGGTCTGATCTGCCAGCGCAGCCTGGGGCAGCTCCTGTATTTTCCACCGCCCACTAGACCATGGCAGAACCCAGAGCCCTGACTCCCTGTTCCCCTCATTCCTGAAACCAGACTCTAACTGGGCCACAGTAACAAATGCTCCTCTATTGGCAAATCAGTCACTACCTTCATCTTGTAAGATCCTCTGGAGGGGGCCTTGGGATCAGAGATGGGTCTCCAGCTTAGACCATTGGATTATAGTCAAGAGATGCCTGAGAATTACCATTGGGAGATGATAGCTTTCTTGTTCCACCTTCCAAACAGATAGCTCTGCTGGCCCTCACTGGGGTGGGCAGTTGGGCATTTGATTCATTCTCTCTCTCTCTCTCTCTCTCTCTCTCTCTCTCTCTCTCTTCCCCCTCTCTGTCTCTGTCTCTCAGTGCTGGGCATTGGACATGGGACTTTTACTCATGTACTCTATCATTGCACTACTTCCACAGTCTGGGCATTTGAATTTGAAGCCAGGTCATGAGTTACACCCAGGGTCTAGAATTTAGAGCACAGATCATAGTAGGCACCGTAGCCTCCCTGGGGGAGGAAAATCAATGTTTATCTGATCGTGCTGAGCCTTGGCGGACCAAGCATAGTCACACATAGTCATGCCCACATCCCACTACCACCTCCAGCAAATACACTTTTAGTTACCCAGTGGGGGAATTTGGACCCCCTCTGTTCTATCTACTGGATGGAAGTGACTCTGTTAGCAAACAGACATGGAGCTCAGCACCTTCTGTGAAGCTCGGTTCACTGATGTTGCAGAGGTTAAATGGCAGGTGTATGTGTAAAGCACTTGGCACAGTGTGTATCCATAACAGGTGACACAACTGGACCTCTATCATCAATTCTTTTTACTTGGGCATGGCTTATTTCTGAGCCCTAATCAGGCTCTTCTGCCAACTATAGTGTCTCTGGCAAACCATTCCCCCATCTCTAATAGAACTAAAGAGAGGCGCTAGAATGACTGGAATGGACTAGAGTGATGTTAACTGTTCTTCCAGCACTAACATTGCTTGCGTTTAGGCTCAAAAATAAAAAACAAAACAAAACAAAAAAACAGAAGGCAAAGAGCTTTGAGACATGAAGACATAAGTATAAGGCACATAAGGAACTGCAGATGTCATGGGACACAGCAGCCAGATGGAAGGGCTTCCATTGGCCACATCTGGGACAATTTAAGCACTGAAAGAATGATATGCCATAATGAATTAAAACCACTTAAAGACAGGAATTCATGAGTCCATGCTGATAATAAATAGGTAAAAGTGGATGGGGTAGCAGATAGGACTCAAAGTAGAATGCTGATGTTAGAAATGTGTTAGAATGTGTTAGAAATGGAAAAATCATCACTTTCACAGTAAAGACTCAATGAGTGGTGATAAATTCAGAATGAAATTTTAACAAAGAGCAGGACATTTGCACTGTCTTAAAGATTCTGCCTATGGATGACTTATTGGTCACAGGGGAGGAACAAATAGTAATTGCACAGTGGATAAATTAGGTTATGTGTTGTCTGGGGGATCAACATTAACATGACCAATGGCAGCAAAGGACATTGTGTGCCTCCAGATGGGACACCTCATAAAGGATCATCCAATATCCCCCATAGGGTATTCTCCCTGAGACAGCCAAATTTAATAATGAAAAAAAGTCAGGTACAAAGTGAGGAGTCTATTGTTAAAAGGGGTTGAGGCTGGGGATGGGCATGATGGCACAGGTCTGCAATCCAAGAACTTGAGAGACTGAGGCAGGGGGATTGCAAATTTAAGGTCAGCCTGTGCTGCATAGTGAGAACTTGTCTCAAGAAACAAAAAACAAAAGTGACAAGGCTGTACCCTTGAAAAATATCCATGTCCTAACAAAGCAAAGCAAAGGCTTTTGAAATGTTCTAGAATCAAAGACATGCCAACTAAATTCAGTACTTAAGTCTGCACTGGATTTGGCAGAGGGAGTTTGGGGGAGTACTATAAAGGTCATTAGTAGGTCCACTGCGTGAATTGGGTATTAATGGTGGACTAAGATATCATACCCCGGGGCTGAAGAGATGGCTCAAGGGTTAAGAGCACTGGCTGCTCTTGCAGAGGACCTGGGTTCAGTTCCCAGCACCCACATGGCAGCTAACAGTTCCAAGGGAATCCAACACCCTCTTCTGACCTCCACAGGCATTGCGTGACATGGGTTCACTTACATAAACACAGGCAATGCACTCATACACATTAAAAAAAAAGTGTATCATTTATGAATGTGTGAAGTTGGATTGTGGTTAGGGAAGGAAACACCTCTGTTCTTAGAAAATATGCTGGAGTATGTCAGGAAGGAGGGTTGTGAGGGATAGGACTGACTCTCAAATGGTTAATGGGAAAAAAAGTGTGCCTGTGCATGCATATGTGTGTGTGCACTCGTGTGAATGTGTTTGTGTAGGTGGAGACAGAGCAACGACTACATCTGAGTTAATGAGTACACAGCATACTATTTCTGTCTGTGCTATTTCTATTTCAGCAACTTTAACAAAATTGAAATGATTTCCAAATTAAAAAGAAAAAGGGGCTTACCAGGTCACCAGCTTTCTCCTTCACATACTGTCTCCCTTCCTATGTCCCTCTGGTCCTCAGTCCCACTCCTGGGTCTTTGCTGTGGTGCTTCCTCAACTTGGACAACTTGCAAAATGGCCAGCAAACTTTTCTTGCTATAGATCTTATCAAAATGTCCCCTCATCAGAGAGGCCTTCCTGACTACCTGTTTTAAGGCAGGCTGTCCCCCCCATGATAACCTCTTTTACTTCCCAGTTCTATTACAACTGATAAGTTATATGTTTACTTGTTTGTCTAATCCACTAGACCATCACACTACAAGAAGATGGGCCTGTGTTATCCACCAGGATATTCCCAGCATCTAGGAGAGGGCCAAGGTGGACCCTCCATGATATTTTTCAAGAGTGGAACCTCACCACTTTTGGTTTGTAGCCAGCTGGTCACAGTCAAGAAATCACAGGGGTGATTTTACAGTGAGGCAGGCTTGAGGCCCCTCTCTATCCAACACCTCCCACACAGAGGGCTGACAGGCCCTGTAGTCTGGCCAAGGGAGTGGGGAGCAATGCCTTTGTTGTGACAGCCTTGACCTTGGCTGCCCCTATCAGATCTCATCTGTGTCTCATCCCACCTCACCCCTGTCCCAGGCTTCCCTGATGCCCAGGCCAGGGACACAGGTCTCTTGGCCAGCAACCACCAAGCAGGAGTAAGGGATCCCACCATTCATCAAAGGGTAGGGACACAAGTGGTTACAGAAAAGCTGAGGTGCTCTGAGCCTCCCTCAGGGTTTGGGGTTTATTCTGTTCTGTGCTGAGGTTACTGGAGTCAACACACCCAGGTTCAGGTTTCTCAACATGCATGTGTTTCTTATATTATTGTGTTCCATGCCTTATCACGTTTCCAATTGCTGTGGAAAAAAAATGGAATGAATGTGTGTGAATCACCACAAAATGTCTTATGGTTATTCTGGGAAGAATTGGGTGACAGACTAGAAAAGAGGAGGGAGGGAGGGAGGGAGAGAGAGGGAGAGAGAGAGAGAGAGAGAGAGAGAGAGAGAGAGAGAGAGAGATTCAGAGGACAGTCTCCAGTCTCCCAAGCAGGGAGGAGAGCTGAGTAGCAGGACAGCAAGCAGGGGCACTGACAAACTCAGGAAGTGGGAGGGAAGAAGCTGCCGTTGCAGGTAAGTTTGGGGTCCCATCCTGGCTGAGGACCTGAGCTTGAGAGGACTACCAGGGGGCAGGGCCAAGAGTGGGCTGGTGGCCCCAAGAGGAGCAGCCTGCAAACAGCTGGAACCAGAAAGTAGGAATAGTGAGAGGATCCCATACAAGTAGAGTATTGGTGTGCTAGCAAAAAGAGAAGGAAAGTGAGGGAGTGCTTGGGAAAAGACAGCCTAATGGGAAGTGGGGGGAAGTGGAAGTCTGTCAAGAAGAGTCTGGCTCCAAGTGGCAGAGAGGAGTCATGTAGGGAAAGCAGAGAAGAAGGGCATCAGGGGATATATGCACAAGCTGAGGCTGCCTTTGGCCTCCCTGTGGTCCAAGAGTGGGCACAAGAAATCCTGGCTGTCCCTGTTCTTCCTCCCTGCCTCTCTCTCTCTCTCTCTCTCTCTCTCTCTCTCTCTCTCTCTCTCTCTCATCCCTCCAGTGCCCTGCTTCTCTTTGTCTCTCTTTGTAGACACCTCCCCAGTGCTCAAACACCAGCTTCGTGCCTTTTTGGGTACCTCCCCTCTCTCTCTTCCAAAGTGGTCCTGAGTTAGCAGGACACTGATATCATCCACTCATCAATTTCCATTTCACAAGGTTTAGTGCTAACTGAAAAAGTTGTTCTAGTTTGCTTTCAATTGCTGTAACAAAACACTCTGACCAATACCAACTTGGGGAGGAAAGGGTTTATTTCACTTACATCTCCCAGGTAACAGTTAATCACTGAGGGAGCCCAAGGTAGAAATTTAGGGCAGGAACCTGGAGGTAGGAACTGGAGCAAAGGCCATGGAGGAATGCTGCTTACTGGCTTGCTCCTGCCCCCTGCTCAAACTGCTTTCTTATATAACATAGGCCCACCTGCCCAGGGGTGGCACCACCTATAGTAAGCTGGGCCCTCCCACATCACTCAGTAATCAAGAAGATGTCCCACAGACATAGCTACAGACCAGTTCAATGGAGGCAATTCACCAATTGAGGCTCCCTCTACCCAGGTGTGTCAAGTTGACACTCAAGTTATCCAGCACAAAAGCCAAGCAGTAACCATGTGAAAATTCAGACTGTATCATCTCATCAAAGGGCATGTCCTTTCTGATCACTGCTTCCCTATTGGTAAATTGGAGACAGTCGCCAGAGCTCAGACAGCTGGGCCAAGTGAGAGGCTCTGTCAGGGAGCTTTTAATGGGGGGAACCCCATCAGAGCCCTGGTACAGGCCTGGCTCTTTAGCTCAGTCTTACGAACTGGTATTTCTATTTTTCTCTGTCAAGAGCAACCAGGTGCTGGTGACTTGCTGCTGGTCAGTGGCAGTTGGCCTTTTGCCCCTCTCCCCAGCTTGGGCAATTCAAGCTGCCCTGCCCAGACCCTGTTTCCTCAACCCACAGGTCTCATGAGGCAGACCAACACATAGGGGCCAGCTGGGACACCTGTCAGCAATGATAACTGCCACCAGGGGGCACCAGTACACAGCGGCTCCAGCTCTCCTACTCCAGGCACCCCTACCTCTCCCAACCGCAAACGGGCTGAATATTCCAAATTGGATCACAAACACAGCCTCCTCATTAGCATGATAAGGACTATAAGGGAGGTGCCCTGTAGGAACTTGGGGATCACTGCTTCCATTCCCTAGAGGCGAGCCTAGACTCACTTGCTTTGTGTTTTTGCTTATTATTCTGTGTGTATGTGCAGGTGCATGCATGCCAAGGTACTCCTGTGGGGGTTAGAGGATAACTTAGGAACCAGTTCTCTTCTTCCACTGTGCATTACAGGGATCAAATCCAGCTCATCAGGCTTGCATGGCAAACGCTGGGCCATTTCATTAGCCTTCACTTGTTTTCTTTGACACCTATTGGCCAGTTGCCTAATTCTCCCCACACACCAGTACCACACAATGTCCAGATAGGGGTGGGGGAGGTAAGGGGCCACAGCAATGCCACAGACAATTCTGGGAAGCAGGCAGACTGCAGAGTGGAAGGGTTTGGCTTTGTCCCTTCCTATGCCACTGTCCAACTCCAGTGTTAGGCTCCCTAAGCCAAGCTTCTTCTACTGTAAAACAGAATAAACTTCTTGCCTGACAAAACAGGCAAGCAGCACTTAGTAGCTAAGAGTACAAAGGAACTTAAAGGCTATGGATAGTTCAAACTAGTATCCAGAGGCATATTCCTCAGTCACATCTGTAGTGGGATGCTGAGCCTCCGTTTAAATATTATGGAATGCTTAAGCCAATGTTTACCAAAAGACTTGTACCCTGCATCTTGAATTTTCTTAGAGACCCTGTACTTTATAGCATAGTCCCACTTCACAGAGGGGTAGACTGAGACTCAGTGGATTAGACCATTGAGTGAAGGATCAGATCCAGATGTTTCATTTCAAGCTTATCACCATCACTAGGCTATGTTCGGCTCTGTTCTGGCCAAACTTGTCCTGATGGAATGGAACTGAATCTAAGGTGCAGGTCCCCAGGAGGCCAGGCAAGCTTGGCTGCTCTGGCCTCAGGACACAGGGCCTTCAGTTGTTTGAAACCAGGGCATCCTCTGCCTCAGGCCTACTAAGATGTGTCTTGACCCTTGCTTGGCATTCCCAAGAGGCTTTTGGGGTCAGGCCCTGGTAGCCTTTCTTGGGCCAGCCTCTGGAGCCACAGCCTCAGGCCCTGAGGCTAAGGCACATGAGGAGGAGGCTTCATATTCAGCAGCTGACATGGCACCTCAGGCCTGCAAGGCACCAGGAGCAGGTTCCTGGTTAGCTGTGTTGAGGGGCTGTGGCCTGGAGAGCTGGCTTCAGGCCCTTCTGAGACCTGGCCCATGCCCACTGGAACTGGTTTACTCTGGAAACCAGAGATGCCCAGAAGGCTCCACTAATCCCTTGGGTAGGAATGAGGCCCCCCACAGTACACCCTGCACAGGTGCTGATGGCTGTGAGCCAAGAACTAGAAGTACCACTGGGGCCTGCCCTCCCCCACGCCCCTGGGAACTATCCAGTCATGCAGGAACCAAGGCTTGGGGACCTACCTGGCCAGGAGCCCTCCTGCTCTTTAGCTCCTAACCACAGTCACTGTGACTGAATGGGGCTCAAATGGTGGGTCTGAAGAGAGGTGAAAGATGAGATGTGAAGTGGGAGAGTCACCTAGAAGGATAAGCTCAGACCCCAGGGCCATTCATTACTCTAGCTCCTGGTTTCTTACTGGGTGACCTGTGTGAGACACCTCTTCTCTATGGATTTCGTTTTCTCACCTATAAAATGGGAGGGAGCATTAAAAATGTCTACCCTTGTGGGATGATGGTGAAGGAGGGACCACATGCTTGGCTGGAGGTGCTTCTGCCACCACAATACTCCTTGTCCTTGCCTAGGAACACCACGGAAGATTCCTTCCCACTTCCTGACTCCAAGACCAAGAGCAACCCCACATCTCTGGGGGAAGTGGCAGGGACAACTCAGGGCCATCCCTGGTGGTTGGGGTCCCCTTCTCACTCAGTATTCTCCTTCTTCCCTCTCACAAATCCTACTCTTGGACCATTCTGGCCTCTCACACCCTCAAATTCCCAGCTCTCCCTTTCAGTGGCTCCTTAGCTGCCCTGCTTCCTCCTCAGAATTCACTACCCCCCATGGAACTCAGATCTGCCTGCTCAAATTTGGGGGTGCAACATTCTGTTACCAACAAATCTTAGAGACCTTGGGAGTCAGAGATTCAGAATATGCGACTTGTTTGTCCAGAGTAATCATAAGCCCTAATTTGCTGGGACAGTCAAGGTTTATATCTGGGTCCTGGCTCACTGCCACCAGCATCGCATCCCTTAAACACCAAGTGTCTTCCTCTGGAAGATATAGTCTGTGGTTACCCTATAGACAAATGTTTGTGGAGTGATGGAAAAGAGGCAGGTGGTTGAGTGTGGAGGGTGGGGGGGTAGGAGCTGGAGGAACTAAGGACTGTACCCCGTCTTCAGGGAGTGTGAGGTTCTGCAGTCTCCTGTTGCAATGTCTTGAGGCCCTCCGCTGCCTGGATGGGTAAAGGATCAATGAATACCCATGGAAGGGACTTGCCCTCACACTTTGCTGGGGGGATGGCTCAAGCAAGAGAGTTGGAGGGATGAAATAGAATAAGCCGAGGAAGGTCTCACTCAGGCTTGCCCATGTCCCCATTTGCCTGCCTGGTCTTCCCACCAGGATAGAAAAGTTGGGCAATGTGAAGAGTGGATTTGCGACTTGGATTCTGAAGCTACAGATGTCAAGAGCTCTTTTAAAACATGGCCCTGAGTAGAGCCCCTTTATTTCTAGACAGTAAAAGAATGTCCTGATACTGATTGTATAAGCTGCAGAGGAAGGAGCAGTTAATATAGGTGACTGTTGGAGATAAGCTTCAGCGTCCCTTCTAAAACCAGTGGTCCATGACCATGTGAACACTGTTAGAAATGTCATTGGCTGCTGGCAAATGGAGTGGAAATTCAGAAAGCACAAGGACATTGAAAGAGTCCTGGGCTAGAAGCCTAAAGGTTAAGCTGCCCAGAGTGTTCTTGGACTAGTTATTTTAGCTCTTAGAGATGCCTAGGGAGTCCTTGTATGGCACCTGTGTTCAGTGGTTGTGTCATGATTGCTCTAAAGTGAGGATTATACTCCTAATACTGGACCTCAGTTTCACATGGTGTCTGCTGCTGGCCTCTCTGTTCCTCTGTCAGGTGGGTCTCACCATCATCCCTATTCAGTAGAGGAGGAAATTAGTGTTCAGCAAGGTTTACACCTACCTGAGACCATCCTCCCCACAACAGAGTCATGTTAGAAAGGAGACCTGTTGTTCCAGGGCCATATTCTTAACCATAGCACCATAGTAACAGAAGATTAAGGTGGGTGTTCCAACCTCCTAGCCCAACACTACCTCTGGTCCCACATACCTGCCCCCATAGCACAATGGGAATGCCATCATGCCACCTTTATAGCCCTGGACATCTGATCTAACCCCCTATTTGGAGTGTATGGGAGACAGGGCACCTGCTAGTTGGGTGATGGAGGTGGGACTCTGACTTTCGAGGACACTAAGTAGGACAGGGTCATAGGAGGCATTTGATGGCCAGGAGACTTGAAGTTTTTTCAAAAAGAACAAACAACAAAAACAACCCACCTTCCCCAGGAGGGTTCCTTACCAGTCTTTCACAGGAAAGTGTGTGTACATCTGACCATTTTCCCAGCTCGACTGGCAGAGATAGGCTGATGCAGAGTCTACCCTGGGGCCAGCTGGGGACTGAGGGGCAGCATCACCGTCCGGGTCTCCACCCTGGTTAGGAGCCAGCAGTGGGCAGAACGTGGAGCACAGCGGTGGCCGCCCAGCAAGGTGGAGACTACTGGGAGACGTTTCAGGTGAGCCTACGGGGGCGTGGGACTTACTTGGATAGCGATAGTAGAATTCGTTCTCCAAATCGCTGGAGATGTTCCTGCGCTTCTTTTCCAACCACCAGTGGGCATCGGCCTGGAAGTCGTAGCGCACGAATACGCCAAAGAGAACCACCATGGCCACCTGCAGGGCCAGGCAGGTGAGCGGCAGCCGCCAGCGGAGGTTGGTGCCCCTGGGCATCCTGCGCGCCGGCTACGCCACTCCGCAGCCTGGGCTCCGAGGCCCGGGAGATGCTTATACGACGGGGCACAGGGCGGGGTGGCCGCTGGGGGCCGCGAAGCAGCTGACTCGGGTGCCGCCCACGCGCACCGTGAGCTGCCCAACCGGCAAGGGGCCCGCCCGGAACTCAGCGCCCCTCGAAACTCCCGGAATTCCCAGACTTAAGTCACCACCACTACCACCACCATCACCACCACCTTCCTCCTTCGGAAAGTGTCTCACTCTGTGGCCCAGGCTGGCCTTGAACACTTGGCAGTCCTCCTGCCTCAGTCTTCCCGAGTGGTGGAATTACAGGTGTGAGGCACGCATCCCTTTCTTCTTCAGTTTACAAAACTCAAATGGTATGCATGAATGAAAACTAAGGAAAGAATGAGAAAGTGTTGTAGACAAGAGAAGCTTGGAGGACCGGGGTGAGGGGTGGGGGCTGGGGGGATGCCATGCTCTCTTCTGGACTGATACTGGAACAGTTTGCTAATGGAGAATCGTGAGACACAGTAGTTAAGTTAGTTCATAGCGAAGGAGCCACGTTGATTTCTTACTTGGGACAAAGGAACCATGTTGCCTAAGAGGTTAATATCAGAGTCAGGTGGGTGAAGGGTGTGTGGGAACTTTACCATCTTTCTAACTTTTCTATAAATCTAAAATTATCCACAACTGATAAGGGTAGGGAAAAAATTCTAGCTTGTTAGAACAGAGTTTTTCCAAAAGTTCACTAATCTATGATCAGGAATTATCTTTTAGTTAGCCATGTGCAATCTTCACATATTATCTTCACACTCTTTGACCATATCTAAACTAAATCTATGCTTACTCTGTATTTTGTCAAGATAAATGTGATTTCTAATTTTCCTTATATAGTAGAGATTTTGGAAAATATTGACCAAACACAAAAAGAAAATGAAAAGCATTTGTACTCCATGAAGGAGCAACACTGGAATTTTGGTGCATGTGTGTCTCCTATAGCTTGTTAGAGAGGGGCAACAGGGGTACAGGAGAGAGTGTTTTGTTCTGTAATATTGATGTGTAGCTTGCATTATGGAATAGTTCATAAACAAACATCTTTCCACATCTTCTACAACATCTTTAAAAAAATTTTTTTTAAGACAGAATTTACGTAGTCCAGACTGGCCTAGAACTCACTACATAGACTTGCTTAGTCTTAAACTTGCAGTGATTCTTCTATCTCTACCTCCAAAGTGCTGGGATTATAAGTATTTGCTACCATAATTTGGGGTTTTGTTGTTATTTTGTTCATGTTTCTGTTTTTTGAGACAGGGTCTCTGTAGCCCAGGCTGGCCTCTTGCCTTAGATTCCCAAATGCTGAGATTACAGGAGTGACCCACCGAGACTGGCTTACAACATCCTATTTAAAAAAAAAAACGAAAAACAAGAAACAAAAATTTTTAAGGGGAATGGAAAGATGGCTCAGCGGTTAAGAGCACCGGCTGCTTTTGCAGAGGACCCAGGTTTGATTCTCAGCACCTACAGGGTGGCTAACAACTGTCCCTAACTCCAGTTCCAGGGGGATCCAACACCCTCTACTGACTTCCAAGGGCATTTCATGACATGCAGGCAATACCCTCATACACATAAGATAATAATAATAATATAATAATGTATTAAAAATTTTAGGGCCAAAGAGATGACTCAGTGGTTAAGAGCATGTACGTTTTCCCCAGCGGGCCCGGCTTCAGTTCCTAGCACTCATGTCAGATGGCTCACAACTGCCTGTAACTCCAGCTCCAGGAGGATCCAATGCCTCTGACTTATGTGGGTACTTGCATTCACATGCACATACATCCCAACAGACACATACAGACATACATTTAATTAAAAAAATAATAAATTCTTTAAATTTAAAACTTTTTATTTATTTTGCACAGGGGATGGGGGCATGCTCATGCCACAGCATGTGGAAGTCAGAGGACAAGTTGCAGCAGGCAGGTCTCTCCTTGCACCATGTGCATCAGGAATCTAACTGAGGTCTTCAGGTTTTGTGGCAGACACCTTCACCTGTTCAGTCATCTTGCCAGCCTATGACAGGCTAGGGAAGCAAATGAGGGAATTCAGATGGTGAGAGACCCAAGGTTGAAGCGAGACACTGTCATCAGATGGTTTTTTCCTAGGTCACATTCCTGGGCCATTCAACTGATAGGTCACCATGAATTAACATTCAAAAACAAACCCTGGGGGCTGGAGAGATGGCTCATCAGTTAAGAACACTAGTTGTTCTTGCAGAAGACCCAGGTTCGAATCCCAGCACCCACATGACAGCTAACAACTGTGTGTAACTCCAGTCCCTAGAGGATCCGACAAACTCTTCTGACCTCCGAGGGCATTGTACACACAACACAGGTGCACTTACCTACATGCAGGCAATACACACATACACATAAAATAAAAATAATAATTTTTTAAAAATCCTTTTTAAAAAAAACAAAAACCCAAACCCTGTCACCTTGTGAATGGCAAATATGGTTATGCTGCATTAACTTTCTGGATACCAAAACCATTCGTTTATTTAGCATATCAACATACCACAGTGCTTAAACTTTTATGATTTTTTTTTGGTCATGCTAGGCAAGCACTCTGCCATTGAGCTACATCCCCCCGCTCCACTTTTTTACCTCTTCTGTATTGCATTACCACTTGTCAGAAAGTCTCTGTGGCTTGAAGGGTCTCAATGGTCTAGCACCCAAAATGCAGGGAATGTAGAGGGAAAATATGCATTTGAATTCTCTGTTTCTACTTCAGCTGTTTTTTTTGTTTTGTTTTTAGTAGTGGGGATTGAACCTAGGGATGCATGCATGTGAGGCAAGCCCTCTACCACTAAACTACAGCATCAGCCCTTATATAATCTCTAGTATTTATAAATTGCCCTGCTTGTGTTCACTTATAGCCACAGAAAACAGATAGGGTCCTTCCTCTTTCCCACAGCCTCCTCTCTTTTCTCCATACTCTGCATCCTCTTAGCCAAGCCACTGATGGTACCTATGTCTCCTGCTGAGGTGTTGCACCCCTCAGTGGTACCTTGTACAGTATTCAAGAAAGTGAGGCCACAGACAGAAACTGATGACATTAGCTCTGCAGGCACTAAGACCCAAGGTTATTGGTAGATAGACAAGGACTTTGGGATGAGTTAGGGAAGCACACAGATCTGTGGAGTCATGGGCTCCTTAAGATGGAGGCTCTCTCTCTCTCTCTCTCTCTCTCCCCCCCCCCTCTGTGTGTGTGTGTGTGTGTGTGTGTGTGTGTGTGTGTGCATGTGTGTGTGTGTACAGCTACCCTTGGAGGCTAAAAGAGGGCATCAGATCCCCTGGAGCTAGAATTATAGGCAGTTATGAACTGCCCAATATGGGTGCTGGGAACTGAACTGGGGTCCTATGGAAGAGCAGGAAGTGCTTCTAATTACTGAGCCATTTCTCCAGTCTCCAACACCCAGGTGTTGTCTTTCATCAAGTCTCCCCATCTACAATACAGGGTGGTCACAGAGTAAGTACCTGGGAATGCTTCAGGAAGATGAAGGAAGATGAGAGTAATATTCTCTAAACATCTACTATATGTCAGGCACTGTTCTAAGCCCTGTGGTACAGCAGTGAACAAAAGAGGCAAAAACCCTTGTTCTTAGAGCCAGCATTCTAGAGACAGTGAGGGAGGCTAGCAAAACATGAACATGCAGGCAAGCAGGGTCACATCCCCTACCTGTGTTGTCCCTTTCCATTTCATACTTGTGATCAACTGGGATCCAAAAACATTCAATGAAAACTTCCAGAAATAAACAATTCATAAATTTTAAATGACTTTTATTAGAGTGCATTGTCATAATTATTTCATTTTATTGTTAACATCCATTCCTTCCTGTGCCCAACTGACGAACTTTATCAGAAGCATGTGTAATACAGGAAAAAATATAGTATATACAGAGTTTGGTACCATCTGTGGCTTCAGACATCTGTGGACTATCTGGAATTTGTGAAGGGTAGTGGTTGCTCTTGAGGGAAAAGGAAAGTAGAAGAGAAGGTAGAGTACAGTGTAAACAGGGTGACTGGGGAAGGCTACAGGGAGGGAAAATTCAGACTTTTGCTAGGGATTCACTCTGGTTCCCCTAGGCTCAGCTGCTGGTTCCAACTGCTATATTTTGAGGTTATTGCTCCTTTCAACACCCCAGACACTGTCCCTTTCCTTGACTGCCCTCCATCTTTGTGGTGGGCCAGGCTCTGAGTTTCTGCAATAGTTCTGGCCAATAGTTCTGATACCCTTGAGAGGGAAAAAAAAAGTAGTCATTATCCCAGAAGCCTAGGAAATATGTTACTTCCCAGAACATTCTCTCTCCAGCTAGCAAAATGCCAGGCTAGATGGCTGTCACCTCTAGAGTGTCTGACAAGAGCCTCTCATTCCTGGCCCTGTCTCTACTTTCTCCTATCCCAAGTCTCCACATTTATTCTCGTTCTTCTTGTGCTATGGGCTCATCTTCTATGTTTATTTGTCTGCCTAGCATCTGTCTCCAGCACCAGAAAGTCAGCCCTGAGGTGAAAGGCACCTAGAAGAGAGCCCAGCTCCATGCCAGACCTGGTAGCATATGCTTGTAGAGATAGGAGTTCAAGGTCATCCTTGGCTACATGTGGCGTGTGAGGTTAGCCTGGGATACATGAGACAGTCTAAGAAAGAAAGATGGAGGAGAGAGAGAAAGAGAGAGAGATACAGAGAGAGACAGAGAGACAGAGAGAGACAGAGAGATGAGACAGAGAATTGGAGAGAAGGCTCAGTTGTTAAGGCACTTGCTGTATAAGCATGAAGACCTGAGTTTGGATCCAAGTATCCACATTAAAATCCAGGTATGGTGGTGCACACTTGTATTCCCAGTGCTGGGGAGACAGAGACAGGAGGATCCATGGAACTTACTGGCCGGCTAATTTTCCCAAATCAATGAACTTCAAGTTCAATGAGAGACTCTGCCTCAA